ACACACACACACACACACTATATATATATGATAATATGCACACTGAGGTATACAATAAAGAAAACCCATGAAAATACAGCCCAAATCTGAGAAAAGAACTATGAGGTCACTTATCTTATCCGAATGAGGAGGATGTATAAGGACCTGTTAAATAGGACTATGGGCAGAACAATTTGGATAGTGGGGGTGCTGAGAGCCATTGACCCAAACTGTAAACCCTGTATAGGATGGAAACCACCTCAAGCCAGGAGGTGCGGCAGCACCCCAAGTTCCACCACCTATGGCTAGGAAAACAAGCTTATGCAATTTAATGTTTATTTTAAAACATGGGCAGTTTAATATCCTGCCTACACTGTGTAAAGCAAACTGTTAACTACACATATATGTAAGGCGTAATATACACTACATTAATGGGTATTATGTGCATGGTATTAACATAATATACAAGTTTTGTGAGGTTATGTTAATTGAATGTATTAAGCTCTTCCATCAATTCTGTTCCCTTTTGCTAAATATCCCATAACACTTTGCAAAGCTGAAGTCAGCTTTGGCTCTAGCTGATATGAAATCTGTCAAAAGTCAAGATACATTTGTTCTATGTCCCAGTACAGGGACCTTCACGGGCAACTGGTTTGAAATGTAATATCCAAAACAGAGATAAGAAAAGTACAGAACAAAATGGCAAGTTAAGGAACTGTTACAAACTGGAGGGTTGGATTTTAGTGACAAATAGAGGGGTTTGTAACTTGTAAAACCACACTATAAATATACCTAGTTTAAATGCATATTTCCAAAGCACACCTACTATGTAAGGTGAACATGCTGTGAGATAAGAATTGCTTCCTGGAAGGAGGGCACGTGTCTTTTTTGTACTTTAGACAATAATTGGGTGAGAGTGGTTATTTGGTTTCGAACATTTTTAATATCGAATCACAAGTGTCATCAAAATTAACCAGCTACATATTAGCAACACAATCACATTGTGTGACCCAGTTACAAAACAGCAGCACCTGATTTGATTAAAACACAGCGTGGTCCTGTAGTGTAGGCAGAACTGAACCAGGCTCCCAAGCAATGCTGAACACCTGGTGAGGTTCAGATCATGGAGTGTGGCTAAAACACTATTCAGTATTATCTACACCACAGGATTAAACTGGGTTTTAAGCACATTGAGATCTACTGTGTTGTACTTGCAAAAAGAACATGAGTACTTGTGGCACCTTAGAGACTAACAAATTTATTAGAGCATAAGCTTTCGTGGACTACAGCCCACTTCTTCGGATGCATACAGAGTGGAATAAATATTGAGGAGATATATATACACACATACAGAGAGCATAAACAGGTGGGAGTTGTCTTACCAAGTCTGAGAGACCAATTAAGTAAGAGGAAAAAAAAAAAACTAGCCCAGTACAGACAGTTTGATAAGAAGTGTGA